CCCCATCCAGCTGAGATGGCTTGTACACTTGGGGTGACCTTCTGTCTATGTCATCTTGGCCCCATATTCTCCAGCCAAAGTCTCAAATTGGTCCCAGAGTTCCAGTAGGGGTCTGGGGGTCGGCGCCTGGGGCCCGGCGGGAGCATGGAGTCCTGTCTTTCAGTCAGAGAAGTGCTGCTTAGATCTGCATTTTATATTAGGGTCTGGGCAAGATTAAAAAAAAATCCATTAGCTCTCTATTGATTTTGTTTTTCTGATTACAAAAGAAAATCCAGCAGTACATTTGTGGGATGCAGAAGCCCCAGAAACTCCCTGTGCCACCTTGCCACACCCCTCAAGGGCGATCACCTAGAGGCCTGGCGTACCGATCTCCATCATGGCTAGGCTGCTGCTTGCAGACACCGGTATTTTGAGGTAGCGTTTCGATCCTCCCTTTCGCCATGCAGCTGTGCCTCACACTGTCGGAAGGCCGCAGAATTTTCCGTGGCGAGGATGGGCTACGTTTTACTTGAATATTTCCTTATTGATAAACGCTTAGGCCATTTCCAGTGTGTCTCTTCCTCTTACTGGCATTGCTGCTCTGAGCATCCTTGAGTACTTCTGTGTGTGTGCACTCGTACTGCTGTTGTCGTTTTCTGTAGAAGAGGCGTCTAGAAATGGGATTACGAGGTTGTGGCGTATGTGGGTTTAAACTGTTAATCAATATTGCCAAATTACGCTTGCCGTGGTTGAGCCAACTCCGCTCCCTTCAGCGGTCTATGAGAGTTCACTTCCCATCGTTCTCGCCAGCTCCGCTTGTTACAAATCATCTTCATTTTTCCCAATCTGATGGGCAAAAAGTGGTATCTTGTCGTTTTCATTTGCATCTGCATGATTGCTAGCGAGACGGAACATCTTTTCATTCGTTTATTGGCCAATTTAGTTCTTCCTCTGCGAATTCCTAATTCACCCCCAATTCTTTCTCTTTTGTCTTTTTTTTTCTTATTGATTTGTAGGGGCTCTTTGCATATTAGTGGTATTTTCTTGTAGTGTCTTCCTTGCATTTTAACATTGTTTATGGTATCTTCTGCTGTACAGATGTTTTACATGTTTATGCAGGTGGATTTGTCAGGTTTTCACTTTCCAGCCTCTGGATGTGATGTTTGGCATAGGAAGGCTTCCCCTCACTACACAAAGTCTCCTTTCAAATCTGAGTTTTATTGCTAGAAAATCTTCTCAAAGCTGTGGTGGCAGGCTCCTTCCCAGCTGTCTGCTCCTCTCAGCAGCTGCAGAGCTGTCTCTGGTGGGAAAGGGGAGCTGTGACCCCATCTGTCCACCTTTTAGCTCCGTCCTTCCTTATGTCCGCTGAGGTCAGAGATCACCGCAGCTCTGCCTTTGCATCTCCACCTCCTGGAGAGGTGGTGCTCTGCCCCACCCTCCTCTGCCTCTCCCGCCGCAGCTATACTCCCATTAGGCAGCAGCAACTAGGAAAGCCTCCATGGTGTGGGCACAGGATGCCAACTGCCAGGGAATGTGTCCCCCTTACGTTCTGCCTGCCAGTCTAGGCCCAAGTCATGTGGACTGACTAACAGACGTTGTCCCTATTCTCTGAAGAAATGTTCTTTCTGGAGGGCAGGCTCTAAGCCAGCCCAACTTCTGCCTCCACCAGGAAGCCTCTCAGGATCTCCTTCCTCTTTGGACAGACTCCACCTTCTCTCCCTGCTGTTCTTGCCTTCTCAGGTCGCAGTCCCCACTCATGGGACAAGCCCAGGGAGACTATGTCTGCTGCTGGGGGACGGCTCATGCAGGACACGATGGAGCTGGCAGGTCTTCTAAGCTAGGACTTATGAGGAAAGCACCTTGTCCTACACAGGAGCTCAAAGCTTGGGCCCAGCTTCTCTCAGTCATCCTGTTCCTACAGCGTCCATTATGTTTCTTACGCGTCTGTTTGCCCCTGGGCACCTTGAACTTGCCAGGTGTTAGGCTGGGCCTGAGGTCTGGAGAGAACAAAGTGTCTGTCTGTGGGTGGAGCTCAAGTCCCCACATCTTTATCAGCAGCGTGCAACCCACCCCCTACCAGAAGTGGGATAGGTACTGTGCTTAGAGAATGGAAGGGGACACCTTGCAGATCGTAGCTTACCATGACTGTAACGAAATACCTGAAACAGCCTTCTCATAGAGTAAGGGTTAATTTTAGCTGACCCTTTTAGAGGTTCTGGTCCATGGTCGGTTGGCCCCATTACTTCAGGTCTATAATGAGGTAGCACATGGTGGTAGAAGAATGTGCTGAGCGTAGCCCTTGTTGCAGAAGAGGGCGGGGCCTCGATCTCTCAGGAAAGCACACTCCCATTGACCTAAGGACCAAAAGTTCAGCCTGCTCCTAGTAGTCCCTCCTTGGGGGCCATGCTTTTAATACAAAGGCCTATGGCAGACATGCATGCTCCCAACTATAGCAAGATGCTAGAGGAAATACTCCCCACAGCCTCCTGGAAAATGAGCCCTCAGTGGGCCGTAGAGTACAGAGTGTGTGAGTCAGGGGATCCGGGAGGTCTCTGAAGCACGGCTCAAGTGCATAACCTAAAGTCTGAGGCTGCCACCCCCGACACATGGGTGCTGGATTTCTATCTGGACGCCTTCCCTGCAGCCGTGACGGGTCATCTCTGCCCTTGTATCTCCTCTACCCTTTGCATCTGTCTCAGCCACCAGGATCATAGCGGGCACTTTGCAGAAGGAGTGAAAGTGTGTGAGAAGAGTAGCGAATGAAAGGCAATGTATGTCAGAGGGTTGGGTCTGTGGAAGAAGGGACGGGGGTTCTGGGTTGGCTTCAGGGCTGACTTGTGGGTGGGGGGATGCCATCCCTTGTAGTTGTCAATCTTCAGTCTGCATGATGGGACTTAACCTCTCAGACACCGATTCTGTGTGGTGTCTCCCAGAACAGCGATATAACTTCTGTGACATGTCATTTGTTTGCAATGCTCCCTCCCCTCAGTGCTGAAGCCACTTTGGCAGCATCTTCCAGTTGCTGCCGAGCAGACACTGGATTTTCTGTATGCCCTGCTGAGGGGCAAGAAGCCAACATGGCAAGTTGGAAGGTCCCTTGGTTCTCCTTCTCACATTCTCCCTGGGACTCAGCACATGGGCAGGCCTCGTGTCCAGGAGAGCGCTGGCTCCCACTGCAGCTCCTTCCTGCCCCAAATCATTGTCATGCTCTGCCTGTGGTCCCATTTCCATAGCAACTTCGTGTGATGCCTCTGAGGAGAGCAGGAGCTTCAAAGAGGGTTGGGGGAAGGGAGCTGGAGACCCATTCATTGTCTGGGAGCATGGCAATAGGGGCTTGAGAAGCACTCATGGGGATGGTTTGGCCTGTTGGCTCAGGTAGAGCTGGGCTCAGGGCTGCCAACCAGGTGGTCTGGAGGCCTGCCAAGGACATGGCTGTCCGTGTTGGCCTGGGCTTGGCTGGCTTATGCCAGTCTACAGGGAGCCAGCTTGGGCAGCCATGGAGGGCACTCCTACTTGGCTGGACCTGGCTTGGGGGACTCTGGCCTCACTGTGTTCTGTCTTGATCTCCAAGATCTGTGACCATTGGGAGACACCTTTAGGGCCATCTGAACTGGTGCACAGTTTAGGGATGGAGGGCTGTGGGGCCAGTGGACCCTTTTGCTATAGTCAGGACCCTACTTGGCATCTACTTCTCTGCCTCCTCCTAGGAGGATCTGTAGCCCAGGAGGCATGAAGACCCCACCTTCCAGATCCTACCCTCTCACCTGCAACATGGCTAGAAATTTCAATGATACCATAGATTGCTAGAACATGGACTCTGCCCTGACTGCATCAACCACCTTGGAGCCCCATCTACTCACCCTCCCATTCATCCGATCTTGAAGGTCTATGGGATGCTCTGGGGATCGGGTTGGTGCCGGCTGGTAACACATGGGAAATCAGGGAACTGAGGGCCTGGCCCCAGGAAAGGCTTCTAAGAGAGAGCAGTGTTTTCCAGGCACCTCCCCACTTTTATTTTTTCCACGATCTTTGCCTTTCGTGGGCTACTATTTGAAGGTGGGTTTTCACAGCGCTCCCTGAGTTACACATCCGTGAAATCACGCCTGTAATGCGCCTGTCATGTTTTTCTCTGGTACACAGAGAAATAAACACAAACCAAAGGAAATAAAAATGTTTGCATACCATCTAAATCCCTTCATGCAACCCAGAGACGTGTGTCTCACGCGCTGAGAAACACAGATCTGACTGAGACCTCTTGGCGGCAACGCAGAAAGGGACTGAGGACTTTGAGAGGCTGAAGGAACTGAGGTAGAGAAAAACTCTGCTCAGGGTCACAGGGTCATGACGTGGGAGAGCTGAGACCACCTGCCTTGTTACTGGCCTTCCGGGAGCATCACGTGCTGGGGACTCAGGCTGGACAGGCTAGCGTCTTTCCTGCTCCTGTCTGAGGAGTCTTTGGAGAATGCTTGAAGTGAGTAAGACAGGAGAGCATGAATGGGGACAGCAGGGATCTTTGGGGACAGGTAATGTGGGGCTCAGGCCCGGGGAGAGGAATCTGGGCTTTGTTGACTGCACTCTCCGACATTAGCCTGGAACCTGCCTTAGCATCTAGTGGCCGGGGAGGAGGCAGGTAGTGGTATTGATGGATACCTACTGTCTTCTAGGCCCTTGTAGAAGAAGAAACCCCTTATTTCATGGATAATAGAAGTGAGGCTTAGAGACTTGGCTGTCCCAAGATTACAGGTCCAGTTGTGGAGAGAAGCAGTCAGATCCCCAAGTTCCCAGAGTCTCACTGCCCTAGCTGGTGGCCCGAGTGTGCCAACACACATATGCCGTTGAGTACAAAGTATGTGTGTGTGCGCGCGCGAGCGAGTGTGTGCACATGTGCATGTGCTTGTGCATATGTGCTCACGCGTGTGTGTACAATGGTAATTGCCCAGCTAGGTGGACTCAGACCTGTTTGCGTGTTTCCCCCTCTCTGCCCGCCCTTTCTGACAGTTACCTCCTCTTTCTCCCCACAGCCTCCTGTATCCACAGGCCCTGAGGTACCGGTGCCTATGGGCAAAGAGGCCAACTGAACCAGACCCAGGCTGCTCCCAGCCCAGCTGCACCCAGTACAACCCAGCCACAGGTAAAAGGCCATTTGTGGGTTAGTGGGGCTTCCAGGGAGGACTGTCTCAGGGCCCTCTTTCCACATGCGTCCATCTGGCCCTGTCCTCTAAAATCAAATCCCAGTAGCCCTGGCTGCGGCCGGTCCTGGTCCACAGCCAGCTCAGAAGCCTGGGGCACTTGTCCCAGCCACATGGCTTCACAGACAGCCCTGGCTAATAGGTTCCCATTTGGCGTGGGGGATGGGTCTCTAAAGGCAAACGGACGCGCTCTGTCCTTGCTCCTGTCACTTATTGACCAAACGTGTGCTTGACTCCAGGCCGGGAGGGAGTGGGAACGTGTGGACGGAGAGAGTCAGTGTCCAAGAAACTGTCAAGAGGCTAGCCTTGGCTCTGATGTGTGGAGTTAATGGGGCTCCACCGTTGACATTTGGGTCCAGACACCTTCAGGGCAGGACAAGGCTCAGATCGTAGGTGTGTGTATTTGTGACAAGCACTGCCAGCTAGCTGACCTTGGCGTGTGTGAACAGAGCAGATGGCCTCTTACTCTGCATTATAAGGACCAAGGCGCCTACGGTGTGGGAGGTGACAGGCCTCCCATTCCATGTCCTGTGTGAGGGAATGTGTGGATGCTATGGTAAATCCGATGAGGTGGTGGGGGGCAGTGGGAGAGACAGGAAAGACGTCCGAGATGCTACTTGGCTTGTCTACGATTTGACTGTGACATGTGAGTTACCTTACTCCTGTGTCTGAGCCAATGAGAGAAGGCTACAGTAATACTTTGCTAAGTAGGGATGGTAGTATAGGCTAGACCATATTGTCCTCTCTTCTAGACTCAGTGGAACCACATGCTCAGAAGTCCCCTTCCTGGGCCCGGGGAACAGTTATGTGTGTAACTTGTCAGAGAGCACACACCCAGTTTTCTCTCCCTGACACTAGGTGTCACTCTGAAGTCTACTTACCCAATTAAAACAGTTTTGATACTTGGTTGGTCCTGGATGGGTTGGTTATCCATGTTAGTTACCAGGTAATGGGCAAAAGGTTGAGGTCAGGGCTCAACCTGTGGTGCCTGGATGATAGAGCATAGGGTTCTGCCTCATCCTGGCCAGGAGGCTCCCTCAGCCCCCTCCATTACCCCATCCTGCGGGCAGCAGCACTGACAGGTACAACATGGGATCTCTCCAGGAAGTACAGGGCATGGGGGCACTGCTCAGCCGGTGGCTGGTAGGGCTGGCTGAAGGAGATGATTCCGGGCCAAGGCTGGAAGCCTGTAGGGTCCTTTAAAAACCATCTATTTTTCTGGTTATGAAATGTAATGTGTGTTCTCGGTAGAGAAATGAAAGCACTTGGGTGTTTTGCCCGTCAGTCTTTTATAAAATATGTATTTATGACATAATTGGGATCAAGCTGTAGTTACTGTTTTCTAACCTGCCTTTTGCACTTAATACCACACCAAGATCATTTTCCCGTCATTAAATACTCTTCTATAATGTGATTTTTAATGGCAGCATAATGCTCCAGCCTGTGTTGCTGTGTCCCATTTAGCTGGTTCTCTGTTGTGTATTTTGATGGTTTCCAGTGTTTTGTCACTATAATAAAGCCTTGGTGAACAAAGCCATGCACGGAATGTGATGACGGCAGCAAAAGGCTGAGGCAGGGGACGGGCGGCCGGAGCAGGAGTGTGGAGGTTGGGCATTGCGGTTGTGCTTGGGCCTGGGTTGCTGGGAAAGGGGCTGGGACCAGCTGGGAAGGGTTTGTGCTCCTGTGCTGAGGGGCAGGCACTTGGCCTGGTGAACCCCTGAAATCCTGAAAAAGCCCAGATTTTTCTTTTCTCTCCCCTGCCTCCTTGTCACTTCTTGAAGAGCTCCTGTGTTTGGGAAGGGGCAGGTTAGCAGGCTAGAAGAAGTGCAGGCAAGGCTAGGTCCTAGGACTTACACCTCTCAGTCCAGCGGGATCTGTGGTGTTTTCACAGAGCCCTTATGTACTTGAAGAATCCTGTCCAGTTCTTTCAGGACGCATGCCTTTCCTGGCTCTTGCTTGAATGAGTATGATTACTCAAATGGGCCTTTCCTTGTTGTCTCAGGGATGGTGGTTCATGATGGGGACTCAGGAGAGCCAGGGATAGCTCCCCTGACACCCAAGTGCTGCTGTTGGTCTCTGCCCTGCTCCCATGGAGGCTGGGGTTGCCTGTGGGGATGTGTATGTGGGGCTTCTCGGGGCAGAATGTCTCCTGAGTCACACATTTATCCTTACATGGTATGTGCTGGGTGCTCCACGTGCGCTCCATGGTATCAATGGCTCAGTGGTTCATTCATTTCTCATTCTCCTGACTTGCTGAACACCCACGGCACACTAGATGTGGTTCTGTGTGCCCAGTACCACATCTGGAGAACCGTGTGTCCCCACCAGGAGCATGTCAGATAAATTCCTACTTTCACAAAACTGACCTTCAAACAAGACAGGCAGGAAAATCTAGAGCAGTTCAGCAGTCAGATCAGGGAGTAAGATGAGTTATGGAGATTATCCAGTAAGGCTAGAAAGGGGGTACACACAAGATGGGGTCCTCCAATGCGGGATGGCTGGCATGGGACTGATGGCAGAGGCTCCTTTGAGCAAAGACAAAGAGGGAAAGAGAAGATCTAAGGTTCTAAGGTCTAAAGTCTAAGGTCTAAGGTCTAAAGTCTCTAAGGTCTAAGGTTCTGGACAAACCAGACATAGAGGTCACCATGGAGGCGGCTCATAGCTCCCAGGCTCTGGATCACTGATAGAAACAAGGCGGGTGGGCCAGAGAGGCTGGAAGGCAAATCTAAAGACCCCAGACCCATTTTAGACATGATGGCAAGCTTAAACTGGGGGCTTTAGAAGGGGCATCTTCAGGGTGGCTGTAGGCTGTGAGAGAGCAGAGTTTGGAGATGTGTGTTGTAGGCACAGCTTACTCAGGTAGACTTGGAGGAGAAGACAGGAACCCCATTTGGAGATGTTTAAAGCTGGGGGCAGGCAGAGTGGACCTGGGGTTCTGCAGCTGGGAAGGGCCAAGGCTGCTCTTGTAGACACGCGGCTATTGTCAGTATCCAGGTGGCTGGGAACCAATGAGGAGTCTGGGGCTCACTGCCCAACACGAACCCTACTCTTAGGGCTCCCTAGCGACAGCCGGGCCTTTTACTCCAGCTCTGCAGATGAAAATTGGGTCTCTGAATTTGCAGTCCCGAGAAATTCCTGACAGCTCACCCTCCCGGCGACTCCTCCCTGGGATCTAATACTTGGTACCTTCTGTGTCATTTGTCAGGTGAGGGAGGTGTGCTAACCGCTGATACTGGGCTCAATTCTATTATCCTTCCCTCCTCCAAAGAGAGCCATATCCGGTGAGACAGACACAGTGCAGGCTCCTCTAAGCCCCACTAACAGCCTTCCTTCAGGTCACGCTTCTCTGGACCCTGTGGTAGTGCCCTGTGCCAAGTCCTTCTCCTGATAATTCTATCATGATCTGGCTACACCCATCCGTTGTACTTGTCATCTTTCTAATATGTGACCTGCCTCACCCAAGCTCAGTCTCACTTCCCATCACCTCCTTCTGGAATGATTTTTCTCACACCTCTCTGAGGTGCCTTCTCTGACACAGCTACTTCTTGGCTCCCTTCACTAGGCGGTCGGCACTCCCCAGCCCGACGGCGTGTGGTGAGCTAATCTAAGCTGTTGTACCATCTCATCTCCATCTTTAGCTTGTTTTCAGCTTGCTGTCCTCATTCTCTTGTCCCCGTTGTCTCCTGTCTAGATGCTGTCCCCACCACATGCATCACTGTCAAGCTCTTCCCAAACCGCGGAGCTCTGGGGGCTGGGGTGCCTACACCCTGCTCTGCAGAAGGACACTATGATTTACCTTCTTATTGCTGCAGCAAAACGCCATGAACAAGGCAACTTGCAGGAGGAAGGGTTTATTTGGCTGTGGTTCCACAGAGAGAGGAGTCCATAATGGCAGGCCGGTAGCATGGTGCTGGAGAGAGGCTGAGGACATGTCTCTGCAGCCCTAAGCAAAAAACAGACAGCGGGAAACCGAAATGACAAAAGTCTTTTAACTCTCAAAACTTGCTTCCAGTCAGGTAGTGGTGGCACACGTCTTTAATCCTAGCCCTTAGGAGGCAGAGTGGGCTGATCTCTGAGTTCAAGGTCAGCCTGGTCTACAGAGTAAGATCCACAACAACCAGGGGGACCTTGTCTCAAAAATCAATCGATCAATACAAACCAAATCTTTCTTCCAGTGACACAGTTCCTCTAGCAAGGCCACACCTCCTACTTCCCAAACAGCTTCTGCCAACTGGTGATCAAACATTAAAATTCCTGAGATTATGGGGAACATTTCATTAAAACCGCCGCAGACACCCAGGGAAGTTAGAGACAAGGGTCCTCTGAGGTCACCTGGACATTCCGATCTGCTAGTTGCTAGGGAGACACAAGAATGTAGATGATTAATAAGGCCCAATCACCGTGTGTGTGTGTGTGTGTGTGTGTGAAGCCAGAGGTTAACCCTGGGTATTTTTTCTCATTGTCCTGGAGTTTGTTAAGTAGGTTAGGCAGGCTGACCAGCAAGCCCCAGAAATTCTGTGCCTCCTCAGAACTGGCATTATAAAGCACATACAACCATGTTAGTTTTTAATTGAAAAAATTGGTTCTGAGGAGCGAATTCAGATCCTTATGTATGAGATGCAAACTTTACCAACGGAGCTAGCTAGCTCCTTAACTGCTCCAGTCATCTCATAACCATTGTTCAGGTTGGGACTGTTTGACCCACGCCAGGGGAGAACGGGTGTTCATCTGACCTTCCCTTATAACAGCTGGAAAGCTGATGGCCTCACTCTGTCCAGGCCCTGGAACAGTTACAGTAAGACTTGTTCCTCTGCCAACTGAGCTGAATCTGCCTCTCTGAAGTTCACAGTGGGTCCAGGCTCCATGGTGCTTGGCACTCAGGAGCTCTCCTATTCTGCCTCTGAGCCCAGTGGGGCCCCTATCTCCTGGAGGGGATGCAACA